TGAATTTCAGTTAGGGCTCAGATTCATAAAACATTTAACAATGAGCTTAGTGTTTACTCAGAAATGACAGTCACACTATGCCCTAACTATTCTTTGTAAACCCCTGTATTATCTTCACGAAAGGTGGTCACTAGGTAGATCATATATCTTTTTTAGACGAGGTAGTAAGCCTACTTTTCATATAATAGCTAGAACTTGTTCTTAAGATATGGACTCCCTAATAATTTATTTTTGCATCAACCTAGACTTGATCAATAATCATGAACTCCATCGGATTTTCTGAGCTAAAACCATAACTTTTTTATGAATATAGTAAAGAATCTAAAATAATGTAACTAGCTCGGGGGAATCACCCAAAGATCAAGGTCGAGAAATTACATATAAAAATCATTTTGTCTTTTTTGAATGAAAGAGACTTTAGACCCACCTTTTTGTTTTGTTCTCTCTAATATGTATGGGATTTAACCAAGATGAGGCTTGGGAAAAAAAATCAGATTAATCAAACTATGAATTTTTGCATGTATTTAATAAAAAAGTCATGGATTAGCTTTTTTAACACATGTTAATATATATTCAATGTACATGTACATACATTTTTATTCACAAGCATACATGCATTCATGTTTAAATGTCATGCGGAGATATGCAAGTTGAAATATAGGTCTCGAGAAAGCTCTAATACGTAAAGTTTACAGCATCCAATTACAAGAAAAAAATATAAGGATGAAGAGTGTGCTCTTCGTAATGCTTACTTTTGAGAATAGTTGGATTCCATGAAGGCTAACATGGCTCACATCACAAGCTTACTTGAACAGACACTCAGACACCTATCTGGTGAAGGCCTGTCTAATCAGCCCATTACTTTTACAACAATTCATCCTGAAAGAAGGATGGGTGAACAAAGTGAGAAAACCCAGTATAACACAACATTTATGCAATCAACAATCCTTGCATCGACCCTAGTAGTTATGGATGTATTCACCAATAAACCCCACCAAGTAAAATCCTTTAAGGACATTGATCATGATAAAATAACAATGTTAGATGCCAGGGTAAGGGCTATTGCAAGAGTGAACTTGTATGATCATGTTTAAACTATTGAGATGTGTCTAGTCCTGAATATGATTGTACTAAAGAAGTTTCGTGTGCCTGAGCTCATAAAGTATACTAGTGTCTTGTCACTCACCTTAAGTCTTATCGTAACAAGATGATAGAAGTAGTGTAGGATGAAAAATTGATGATATGATTCTTTCATAACAGTTTAAGTAGGGCAACATTAGGTTGGTGTATAGAGCTGGACAACATGAAAATCCAGAAATAGAAAGACCTTATAAATATTTTCATCAAGCAATATAAATACTACATGGACATTGTTCCAGACAGATCAAGTCTACAAGATATGAAAATCGATAATCGAGAATTTATTCGAGAATATACCTATAGGTGCCCTTGTGGTAAAAATAATGAAAAAAGAACCCCACATTATAAATATTATTCTTGCTTCATCTCTAAAAGAGAGGTGACCATGTGGTAAGATCTTTTGCATAAAAAGATGGTGAAAAATACTCAATAGAAGTTTTATTGGTTTTACAGAAGTGGGAAACAAAAACTAGGTTTTGTTGTATAAATGTAACATGAAGGACATTAGTTAAAGAGAAGTTATAAGACAAGGAAGAAAGAATAGAATTATCAATACGTGTAATATTCAAACATGGATCGTCACTAATAACAATGTCAATTGGTCCTTTATAAGGTTGATTAGAAGTTGGGTTATGGAGATTGGATGTTACATGAAGAGAGGCTTCGGAGTTCAGAATCCATGAGGATTTGTTGAAAGCAATGGTAGGATTGGCATTTAGTGTTTACTGAGGAATAAAATAGCCTCCTAGTAATATAGAATTCACAGGCAATGTGGCTTTTTGGGTAAAAAATTGACAAATAACATTGAATTGTGGTTGCGAAAAATAAAGATATGCTGACTTTGATTGCCTTTATGTTGAAAATGTTTTTATTTGATAAATGTTCATTTTTTGGATGAGGAAAAACTAGTTTAAATCATTTTCTTGAAACAATAATAGTTTATAGCATTAATTTTAATTGACAGTAAAAAGAATAATAGTTTAAATTCCCTTGAAACAAAATAATTAACTAGTTGAAGTCTTCATTTTCTTATCATATCGTTAACTTAATAAAATGTAATGTTTTTTTTAATGTTATTTATTTAATAAAAACCAAAAGCATTAGAAGACACATCTAAAAAATCAAGATGATTTAAAATAAAGTTTAAAAACAATACCTTGCTAGATGAAACCTTTTTGTCTTATTAACATGCTTTTTATTTTTATTGTTTTATAAAAATATTTTTATTTAATTATATGATAATAAAAATCAATGATCACAATAAAACAAATAAGTAAAATAAAAAAAATTGTGGGGGGATTGTACAAAAATAATACAATTGTTCAAAAAAAAAGTAAAAATTAAATATAGTTTCATAAAATAATATCTAAAAAAAAACTCTTCATAAATCTAAGAATTTAAAAGAAATTATATTCATTATATTTAAAATTATTTAATTTAAAATAATTTAAATATTAATTATTGAAAATAAAATCAAACCTACAAAGTCCAGGTGTCCTAACACACCTGAGCCCTTAAAATTAAACTTGGAACTACACATTGTACCTTAATTTATTAAAATTCTTTTCAAATTTAGTGGATGGTCCATCTAATATTTTTTAAAAAAAATTACAACTAACAACATATCATCTACATGCCTAAATTTTGACCAATATAAGGTTGGCTAGAAAAAAAGCTATGAAAACTTTATTATTCAAAAACTCAATTTTTAAAGTATTTTTATCTAAAAACATTCTTTCAACTTCAAGGAAACTAATTCTCCAACTAAAATAAATAAATATTCAAATTAATTAAAAAAAAATCAAACAAACGAAACCTTACAACCCCAATCAATGTTTTCAAGTGGTATCATTACCTCAAAACACTTCAATACAATATTCTTGTTAAGAGAAATATTTACACCAAATTTCGCTATTTTTATAACTAAAATGAAACCAACTGATATCTTTATTTATTTTTTTTTTTTCTAACAACCATCTTATCTCGTAATATAGAAACTAAAATATAAATAAAATAAAATTTTTAACTAAATTATATAATTTCCAGATTAAAATGATAAAAAATAAATAATTTTAAAGCTAAGTTTTCAACAAAATAAAAAAGCACTAACACTATTTTTTTTCTCTCTTAAAAAGCTACTATTTTATTAAGTTTCTAATTTTGATTTTTTTTATATAATTTTTCACAAAAAACTGAATCCTTTACTGCAAAATTGAGAACCAATCTAATTTCAGAATTTTTTTTGTGATTACAATAACTCAACAAAAAACAATAAAAAACAAATCATCAGGTCAAATCACCCATTAATATAATGTGGAGTAATAAAATTAAAAAATAATAATGACCGAAGTAAAAAAAAAATAAAGGATAAAAAAATTATAAAAAGCTTCCATTTCACCTTCATTTCAATTTTGATCTCTTAGTTTTTTATTTTTTGCAAACATTTAAGCTGAATTCTTTTTTTATTAAATTAAGAATTAACTCAATGTTTATATTTTGAAAACAAAATATACAAAAACTCGAAAAAAATAAATATAAAACAAATTATAAAATACAATCACACATCAACACAACTTTAAAAAATGAAATTAAAAATAATTAAAAGTGTAAAAAATAAAAATAAAAAACCCATTCAAATCCAGATGCTCTAAGCCTTTATGTTCTCTGTTTTTTTTTTTTAATTTAATACGTCATTAGAATCATTAAGAATTTAAATTTTGACCACATGAATAAATTTAGATTAGGCTGGGGATATCTCTCAATTATTTGAGCAAAATCCATCCTAGCCCTCGTCGACTGGCTAGGAGAGTGTATAAGATTTTTGCATACCTACAATAAAGTCATCAACCAATGACTTTCACAAGATCCACATGGATAGGATTGTGGACCTCACCAGACCCTATAAAAGAGTGACTCTCGTATCCCACATTCATCCATCAACTTACAAGGAACAGCAGCAGCCATTCCATCCTCTGCTTAAAACATAAAGCATGACACATTCATCTACTTTCACAAGCAAAGCTGTTCCTTTAAATGGAATCACTGAGTTTTCATCAGCCACCTGCGGTAGCAATGGCAGAGTCTCAATGAGGAAGACAGCAGGAAAGGTAGCTGCTTCTGGGAGCCCTTGGTACGGTCCTGACGGTGTCAAGTACCTTGGACCATTCTCTGGCGAGCCTCCATCTTACTTGACTGGTGAATTTCCTGGTGACTACGGTTGGGACACCGCAGGGCTATCTGCAGATCCTGAAACGTTTGCCATAAACCGGGAGCTTGAGGTTATTCATTCTAGGTGGGCAATGCTTGCAGCTTTGGGATGTGTCTTCCCTGAGCTTCTTGCCAGGAACGGAGTCAAGTTCGGCGAGGCAGTGTGGTTCAAAGCTGGTGCTCAAATCTTCAGCAAAGGTGGTCTTGACTATTTGGGAAACCCCAGCCTAATCCATGCTCAAAGCATTTTAGCCATATGGGCAACACAGGTAGTCCTCATGAGCGCTGTTGAGGGTTACCGCATTGCAGGAGGCCCCCTCGGTGAGGTCACTGACCCCTTTTACCCAGGTGGCAGCTTCGATCCCTTGGAGCTTGCTGATGATCCAGAGGCATTTGCAGAGCTTAAAGTTGAAGAAATCAAGAATGGGAGACTTGCCATGTTCTCCATGTGTGGGTTCTTTGTGCAGGCCATTGTGACTGGGAAGGGACCTCTAGAGAACCTGGCCGACCATCTTGCTGACCCTGTGAACGACGGTGCTCGGGCTTGTGCCACCAACCTTGTACCTGGGAAGTGAACTTAACCGTGATGCATTGGACATTTCAGTCAGGCAACTGATACTTGTCGTTTGTAACATAAGCTTTAAGTGCATTTATGCCAAGAATTTACTGAATTCAATGATTCAAAACACACATACAACGAAATTTCAAACTTATAAAATGAAACCAAATCTTAAATAACAAACTGGTTTGATTTACATGTAAGCCCCAGATAGATCCCCGGTCCTCTTTTTGGTTCTGAAATTATGCACGTCAATGGGATCTTGTCGCTTATTTGTCGGAAATTTGCCCACCCTTCTCTTAATGGGGGTGAAAAGCAAATTGGAAATATGAGAAGGAATGGAAAACAGGCTACAGGCCTCGTTTTGCCAGGAACCATTTTCTCAAAAATTGATTCCCCAACTAGTGCTTTTCGGTGTTGAGAGTCAGCTGGCATGTTCAGCACGTCGCTATGTCAACATTGAGTGTTAACATAGGAGACTTTAAGGTGCACATGGTCATACCAAGACAATTAGCACCATTGTCAAAAGTTTTAACGTGGGAGAACCCAATTGTCAAAACCACCTGCATCTCTCCCATCCACAGCCTAAGACGCGGAGAACTCAACCATTTGCATTCCTCTCCCAGCCACTGCAATTTCGTAGTGGTTCCTGAATTAAGACAAAAGGATACAAATAACAGTCATATCATAAAATCAGAATCATAACTCTAAAATGCTTATGCTGACAGCTGTGATGCAGATAACTGGCTATGCTCACCTGCCACAGGCTCTAGCATGCAGTGCTTCTGGCTCTGGAACACTAATGATCAAATAAGCTTGTTCAGTTAATTTACAGTTATCCTGAAGAAGCCAGCATCTGATGCGCTGATCAAGACCAGTAGAAAACACCCATACGCCATCTGTCCAAACACCTTCATGAAACAAAACCAATTTCAATCAGTCAATGGCCACAACAAATGCGTCCAATACATCAAATCTAGAGAAGATCTTGCTCAAAATTTCCATGGGGTTCACATTTGTCCTGCAAATGCCAGAAAAAGACTACCAAAATATATAAAATCAACAGTACAAAGAACGTGATTGAAAAGATGCACGATGTATAGAGGGTTATAGTAAGGAAAAACAAACTGTGAAGCCTTCTATATCCATGTAAACACAGACTTATCAGCCATGGTTTCCAATAAATAACCGGCAACTAAAGAGGGGATGAGTACTTGGTAAATCTATAGTAACAACATTTAGACAGCCGTGAACATGAGACCGAAGACATTAATGAAAAAACAACACAAACTTCCCTCATTTGAAGGAGTAATTTCTATTTTACCTTTTATGGCAGAGCTATGAGCTGAGATGATGCGGTCATGATATAAAAATCTGATCCTGTACTTGTTTGTCTGGCTTTGTCTATAACAATTATTCTTCATGCTTTCAGAACTAGTGAATAAATTGATGAGATTTGATGTCACGATGTCAGAATCCTTCCCTGTTGGTAATGGTGACAAATCAAATTTAAGACAGTGGAGTGCTTGATCATCGCCTCCACTTATTACACTGAATGCAAAACCATTTTCAGAACTTTGAATATCTTGAATGTCTGAAATATGAAGAGAGTTGACCCCTGATTGGTGAACATTATTGAAGACATGGAAAGGCCTTATTTCACATATTCCTGGCAAGGAATTGACACTATTCACTTCTGGTTCATGATGTGTGTTGTCTACAGCTTGAGAACAAACTATTGTGCAGTTTTCCGCGTCACTTGCTGCTGTTGATGCTTCATTCATAGGATGATTTGCCAAATTGCAGTTGGTCCTCTCTCCAGCTTTTATTGCAACTAAACCATCACCTGGTCTATTTTTAGGCACACCGCTGCTTAATGTTCTCCACCATCGTCCACCCTGACTTCCTCTTCCAGTGCGTGGCCGTGTTTGACAATTTATGGACTTCTCTATGTTCAGTGTTGATAACCGCTGAACAAAAGCCTCAATATTGTCAGTTAGATCCCAAAAGGCAATACTTCCATCTGTAGCTCCACTGATCACAATATACACATTTCCAATTCGAATGTTCTCTGTGAATCATGAGAAATTAATAACTCCAAGTAAGAATTTGGCATTAAATACCACAAAATACCAAAAAATAATTAATTGATGGACAGAGAGTTTAATAGCACTTTTTATGCCATGTTCTAACAGTAATCAGCAAGTCATATAATTAAACCTTCAAAAGGCAAACAGCTAGGAATGATGACATGCTGCAATGTTAAAACTGGTGATGATAGAGGAACCAACAAAGCCACGTCGAACCTGCAAGGAAGTAAGAATAAAAAGTGATTTCCCCTAGGGACAAGAAAAAACTAAATTAAAAACAATTTAGGAGCACCAATTAATGGTTTACAGTTGTCGTCATGAATACCATAACCGATGTGGTAAAACAAGAGCTCGCAGTGCAAGTGTTGCATCTGAGCAAGCAACAACAACAAAACAGACAGTCAACCTGAAGGAAATAGATGGAGGTATTATTTCATTGTATTTGGATAAGTCAGTGCCAGGATAAAATCATCACAAAAATTAAAGCTGTCCCATCTCACCTGGAACCAGCACACTTCACCAGAAAAGCAGTGACAGCCAGATATCTCCAGTCATCCTCATACTTATCATCATAAGAAATTTTTGGATATCCCTCTCCCTTTTCCAGTAAAAGTGGTCCTGATGTTACATCAATATTCATATTAAGTTCTTTGGTTATTCCTTGTATCTTCTCAGCTACTTTTGTTTTTCCACGAGAACTGGAATTTCTGGGAGGCATGTCAGTTGACAGCCATTTGAAAGACATCAATGAGGATACTTCTGACAAAGCTTTATAGCCATTTCCGTTTTCTATTTTTTCTTTTTCAATAAATACATTTTCCTTGTCTAGATTCCTATCTCTCAGTAGCCAAGAAGTTAGCACCCGTTTTGACCCAACTGAGATTAACAAGAAAGGATTATCCATGTCCCCTGCACAAGTGTTTTGTCTCTTTGTCCAATCTGACAAGTTGGTCAACTCAGAAGCAATTATGTGCATCTTTGATACTGAGCATATTGATCTCACAGCAGATCCACCAACATGTTCCCCGAGCAATTTTGATGTAAGCCAACCCTCAACTCCAGGAGTATACCTGCACCAATCACAAAATTAGCTGCCCGTGTTTGGTTCCAAGAAATAATGACAAATCATTTGGACAAAAAAATGAATAAAAATGTGGGGGTTGAGTTAGGAGAAGAAATGAAGTACTGTGAGAAATAGTGGAGGCCAACACTCTAAATATGCATAAGAGGAGAGACATGTCAGTGTTCTCGGGACCCACCAACAACAATGTCATTAAAAACTCACTTGATTTCAATTAAAGTGGCAACTAATTACTTGCATACATACTTACCGAGTCAACCTCACAGTTCCATCCTCACACCCAGTAGCAATCCAACTAGATCTATCATACTGGAAATTCTTCCCATTTGCCTCAACAAGGGTATTTTTGGAAACAAAGCATAAGGAGTGCATCTCTCTCCCATGAAACTGGATGTGCAAATTCTGGGGAAATATCTTCCTCTCTCTTTCTGGTACCCATTTTCGATGAATATAGATTATCTCATCCTGAAAGGGAAAAGGATGAATATATGAGACCAGGAAACAATAAGCATAAAGAAATGTTTGAGGACTATAATGACACTCAGTAGCTTCCAAAATTAAGCCCTCAACATTAGGGAACTCTAGGATAAGACAACATTAGGAGACTCTAGGATTTTGGAAGAGACTTATATGCATAGTTGATGAAAAGTGCATTGTGGTCAATGAAAAACAATGGGAAACAGAATGTCAGAAGAAAGATATCAAGAAAACAAGCAAAAACAATGAGATGGTAACCATAGTCGATATAGCATAACAGCATTTTGTAGCACAGACTTCAACAAAGGTGATATAACTCACAAAGGTGAATGAAAAGTCTAATTACTAAATTTGTTTATCAATGTTTAAGATATATTTACCTTCTCTAGCAAAATGAGGAAGTAGGGTTCTGTTCAATCTCATTTAAGTGGTATATCAATATATGGTTTTGGATAGTGGCTTACAGGCGAAGAATCATATTCAGAGTCCTAATTCTTAAACCTTCACTGTCATAGAAAATCTGGTTAACTATGCTAGCACCTATGCAACCTCAATGGTGATCTAAGTACACAACCTCATTGGTGATCAAAGTCCTAATTCTATAATGGTTTGCAGCATATTTACTGATAATCAAAAAGAGTTAACTGTCACACAAAAACAGTTCTTATGGTAACTACTTGCATAATTACCGAACCACATAGCAGTCCCAGTCTCATCACATACAAGTCCAAAATATAGCAGTACTACTTGTTGATGAGACCAGGAGCCTGTTCCCTAAAGTTTTGCTTGGAATGTATTGTTAAACTAGTACAAACCAAAAGGTACCTTGACATATGCAAAACAGCTCATTGCCTCTGGTACATCACCAAGATAATAAGAATGAGGACGTCGCCATCCACCACATGGAATTTGCACAACCTGCTCCAAGCATCAGCAGAAATAAAACAAATGTTTAGTCATGAACACAGGATGGGATGAATACTTGAGAGAGAGAAACTACCTTTGCCTCACTTATTAAGTTCCAGATTATAAAATCTGTTGATGCAAAACCAATAGCATATCCACAATTAGCCAAATCATTGAGGCAGTTTTTATCGGCAGAGACAGATTGAACTAAACTCAATTCTTTTACTTGTTTCATCCCAATAAATTCCAAACCACGCTGGTCTGGGTCATATTCTAAATAGCATATGCAACCATCACCTCCAGTCTGAAAAGAATTGTAATGACGAAAAATTAATACATGAAAGTCCTTGCATGCAAACTTGCACAGAAACAGAAAACATGCAAGCACAATTCTCCCTCCATCACTAGAGAACCATAGCCATGCTTAAAAAAAAATTGGATGTTTCATGCCATGAAATGCTATTTTTGTTGCAATGTAAACAGGTGTGTATTATGAACTATTCCTCCAATTTGATTATGCACATACTTGTTTCCTAAAGGATTCAACATTTTTCTTTCTTCCACACTGAACACGAGAAGTCCGTATAATGCATCATAGCAATCCATCATTACCAGCAAACACTCAAAAAGTGATTCGTATCATACCGAGCGGATTTCAATCGTGTTAGAACTCAATTTAGCAACAGAAATGTTGGATACAGTTGATATTCCATGAGATCCTTTAAAATAACACAATGGTGAAATTTTTATTTCTGGTAGAGTAGGTTTGTCCAGCAGCAAGCCCTTTGACAAAGGGAAAAGAACCAGATTTCCACGCAAATCCCCACATACCAGCACCTACATTCAACCATAATGAACAAAGCAGCATATGAGATGTCATATGAATGTTTAGAAGCCACTGCGAGTTCACAAAGCAAATGAAGTTACATATTGGTTTCAAGCAATAAAGATTCCAGATTTGTAATACCTTTTACTTCATATTTAATAAACCGCAAATCCCCTCAAGTATAAAATTAGAAGGGAAAAAAAGGCTTTACTTTATCTCTTTGTAAGAAGGAAATAGTTATCTCTTATTTTCTCATGCTCCAGAAGAATTGTGGTTATTTCACAAACATTTGAGAATAAAAGCATATACAGCAACATGCATGTACTCATGGGTGAAAACACTAGAGAGAGAGAAGAGCAGATACCTCATCCTCAAATGACGCATCTAGACACATAATCCGAATTCCAAAACATGATGTGAATTCTGCTATAAGGGATGCATCAAAAGTTCTTCCATAAGTGAGAGAACCAGATGGTAAAGGATCGCTTAACCTCCATAGCTTTAAAATTCCTCTAGGATCAGCAGTAAAAATGAACCTGCATAGCAGAGATTGGTGATGATTTGATCTGAATAATAAAGAACGATGCAACCACAACAAAAGTAGCAAGGCAAGATGAGTGATCTCCAGATGATAATGCAAAGGCATTCTGGCAAGCATTTCAGAATTGCACGGCACAAAGCATAATTTAATATGATTCGAGGCATGGTATAATTTAAGAATCACCTGTTTTTTTTTCCCTAGAAATATGACCTATATATTTGAGGGAGACAAATCAATCGAAAAATGATACTATGTAATAACAAAGCTTTTGAACCATTAGAAAAAATATAAAAAAAAAAATGTCTGTGGTTGATGTTTTAGTGATCGTAACATAGAAATAAATCCTGTCCCTCTTGCATGTTATCCATGTACTGCTCAGGGAAAGGATACAAAAAAGACAGATGAGACATTTTTAGCACAATAGCACTAGTGGCACCATTACCTACATCCCAATGCCTTGCACCAATAGGTTCCTAAGAGTTGTCTCTCTTTCCCGGCTGACCAGGTGAAGGTGAAACCCACTTCAGGAGTGAAAACATCACCCATAATTCTCACAATTGTCATGTTTCCTTTACCATCTCCTAAAGCAACCCAGTCATCAACTCCATTGGAATGTTTGGGGAGTTTTTTGGACAGCAAATCCATACAAACAATCGGCACCTCTTCACTGAGCTGAGCAAGCTTTGTCCATTTTACATCCACAGTTCCATGTAATCTAGCATGGTACAGATAACCATTGTTCGTCGCAACATAAAGAGTATCTTCGCATGTGAAATGCAAGCAACGTACATATTCACTTTTGCTGCAATAAAAAAAGCCAACATTTAGAGCACATATGAACATTATACAGGATGAAAAGAATAACAAATAATGAAGACACTAGTAGACAATAATGAAGTTTATTGCACAAAGGAGTATGAAGGTATGTGAGCCAACATTTGATGGGTTTGACATTGGAGATGTCCCAGCAACACCCCAAATGCATTTCCATCACTATCTACCCATCCCAATGCAATTCAATCAATTTTTTCAGGGCTAAAAGATCATCAAAATGAGATGGAAGGTCTCATGTCAGAATACCAATGCGTAAAAACCATTCCCAGCCTCTCAACTCAAGAGGAAAACCTGCATGTAAAAATATTGTGCAGGAAAAGCCTCGATACCATCATTAGGTTGTAAATTACAGGTAAATAGTACTCCTGCCACAAGATGCTGCAGGTGTATATTGTGATTTAACTGTAAATATAATTGGTGATACTTATCTATATGGATTTATTATAATTAAGTTAAATTTAAATGATTATAATTAAAAAATACAAGTCAGATTTAAACAGATAAATCTAAATCTTATCTTTATAGTTAATATTAGATGACTTCAAGAACATGCTTAGAAAAATCCTAAGAGAAAAGTGAAACAAAGGTCAAGGATAAATTAAAATTAAAATTTAGAAGAATACCATAAGTAATAACATTTTTACTCAACGAACAGCCATAGTAGTGAGATAATGAATTGTAGCAAAATACTTGTAAAATTGTAAGGCCCTTTATTAATGTATCTGCTATTGGCTGAATCACGATCTCATATCAACATATTCTGAAAAGACTAACTGAAAAGGAGGAATCCCAATGTTGAGTAGGAGCTGGAGTTTTAAAACATAAAGCCATAAAGAGTTTTTTTTACAAGAGAGCAAGTACCTTAATAAAAAATAAGAAAACACAAATTAATTAGGTAAATTAATGAATATGGAAAGTTTATGAAGATGTTGGAAGTTTTTTTCCAAATGCGAAACCAGAGAAATTGGAGCCCAAAACCAGCACCAAAACCAAAATATCATAGCCAGCTATATCACTCTTGGTTTGCATACAAAAGAAGAGGACATTAAGAATTGTGCTCCCTAAACATGTAATGAATAAGAAAAACAAGGGGAAAACTGGTAAAAGAACCAAAGCACTCATTGGCAATTTAGATCAACAGCAGCTCAGGCCAGCTAATGACAAATAAATATCGAATCAGTCCCACAACTGATTAACAAAGAGCTATAATAAGCAAAACAGATGGAGACAACACAGTCTTAATACTGTGCCAAAACCACCTTAGCTAAGCTACAATGATCTATGGTGAACAGGCTCCTCCAGTTCTAATATTGTTATTGTATTCTACACACACACACACACACACACACCTATAAATTAATGAGTTGAAGAATTCTGATATTAAAGATAAATTACCTGTCCATGAGACCAATATATTCAGATGAATTTGGAATGCGACAGGTAAATATCTCCATTCTGTCAATGAATGGTTTTGATTCAATTTGTCCTTCCAAGCTCTGGGAAATAGAAGCAGACACTTGATGCACTTTCATTGAAGAGTCAAATCCAGCAGTAATGAGGAGTGAAGAGGTTGGATCATACAAACAACGCCATATACCTCTTCCTCTGTATATAAAAAAAACCAAGAATTCACCAATTAGGCAGTGAACTTCTACAAGGCCAGTAAAAAACCTGTTCTTTGAGAGGTTAAGAATGAAAATTGTTTTTTTGTTATGGAATTATGACCATGGTGGCTCCTACTTCACAATTCTGTGGAAGTAGAGCCCCCATATTATCGCTTACAATTTTGTAACTTCAAATCTATGCAACAAATAGGCTTCAATCTGAATTAAAAACAAATCGTGACTTACATGTGTTCCTTAATCATCTTGAGCTGTTTGCCATCCAATGTCCATACACGACATGTACAATCTTCACCAGCAGTGACAATTACCTAAGAGAATAAATGGAAGAAAGGGTCAGCATGTTCCAGGCAAGAAGAAAAGAAAACAAAGACATTAAATTGATTTACATGATCAGTAAACAAAGGATGTGGTAGACTAGTATCAGTCCTTTATGCGATTCCATTCGATGCAGATTGACACAAATGAAAGACGCATTATAATTAATTGGAAATGAATCAGCCAAAAAAGAAACATTTATGTAAATCCACTTGTAGGATTCTACTTTCTGAAAATTGAAGGACTGCATTTCTAACTAGGATTGAATTTCAAAACAATGATAGATGATGCTCCTGATACATTCACCAATGCATATGAACAAAGATGGAAGAATTTATCAACCGGGAATTAATGAAGGATGTATTAAAAATACTTAATTCCCCTGTCATTCACGCTTAATTGCTCTAATCATGAGCTTGACCATTGAAGGAAATTAATTATTGATTGCAGCCATAATAGTTTATCAACTTCATTCATTCAAAGTCACCCTTTGGGCATGGCATACAACTCTATGCACATGCTAACTGACAGCATCCTTTTAACTGATGGATACACTGGAAAAGTAGAGCAAGATGGATTCAAGAAAATAAATACTTAAATGCAGTGCACATGAATTGCTTTCTGACAGAGAGAATGGGACGAGAATCAGCAATCTACTTATAATGAAATTCTTAGGGAATTTGAATTGAAGTCAGAATGTGCATTCCTTTCATTTAAATATTATTTTAACCAGAAACTTTATCGTATAAAAAAAATAGGTAAACCATGATCTTATATGACTTACAGAATCACAGATACAGCAGTCCCAAACTCTAGCATTATGACCAAACAGAACAGGGCCTACAACCTCCTCCTCTCTGTTATCTGAATCTTTTGGCTCATCCCTAACTGCCCAGATACGAGCACTGTAACGATAAGGAAATTGCATTATTGAAACCACTTCATAGAATAGAAACAAGGAGTGTAAGAATAAAAAAAAATTCTTCACCTGCGATCATCAGAGACGGAAACCAGTTTGGATCCATCTGAGGACCATGCTATGCGAAAAATTGAGCCTTCATGTCCAATAAGTCGGCACATATGAGCTGATTTATGCTGCTGAAAACGAAGCTGGAAAGAGTCGGGTAATGAACAGCTCAAATACATATCATCTTCCAAGAGACTTGTTGAAGGCAGCCCATCAGGTTGAGGTTCTACAGGAACCACTTTCCAAACAATGATCTACCCTAACGCAATCAAAGAAAAATTATAGCTCTATGAATGAAGTAGAAGGAACCATATCAATCTCAACTATCGATAACCAGTGTCATTACAGAAAAAAAAAATCAAGTAAAGATGAAAGCAGACATGAGGAAACGTTAGGCACCTCATTGAATATGGTACCGGAAGCAATTCTTAAAGTTTCCAAACTGTCACCCCATAACCGCATGGAATACAAAAGGCATCTCTCTACAAGTCCACAAAATATCGAAATACGTAAGAGCAAGTGAAATAAGAAGGGCAACCACACAGGCAATAAATTTTGGTAAAACTAACCTGGAGATTGAACTTGAAGAACTACACTGGACAACGACATATCCCAGAGATGGACAGAGTTATCACTACATCCAATTGCAAGACATTGTCTCTCTTCCTGACTTGAAGAGACTGCAGAGTTCTATCGCCAATTCAAGAGAGAAAAATAGACATGGAACAACACTATTTTAAGATAAAAGTAATGAATTGAACGCTACAACAGAAGAAAAGAGAAGTGAGTTACCTTGAAGAAGGAAACATCCAAGACCCAATGGGTGAACTTGGGCAAGCAATGAATCAAAGCTAAATCTGCATTCACTTGCGAAGGAGTTTGAATGTGTAAGTTGAAAAGTTTGAGTCTTTTTTCACCGAAGACAGCAATTTTGAAAGAAACAGTTAACGAAGGAAAGTTCGATGACTCTTCTTCACTGGAGCTGCAAGTAATTCCATGAACACGAATTCCATCAAAAACTTCAAAGGATTTTATTATTTTTCCTGATTCTAAATTATATAGCAGCAGCTGCGATCCTGTGCCTGTTTTAAATTCAAAGAAGAAACAATGCTAAGAGCACAGAAAATATAAACTGAATTGAAACTGTAAGTAATGAGGCGAGCACGAGAGTTAATAACGAGGAAAAAAGAAAAAAAAAAAAAAAGGTACCAGCGAGGAAAAAAGGAAGAGAAGAGAGGTTAGAAGGAGGGTGGAGGAAGCAGAGAGCTGATATTTCTCCTAGGTATTGCCCTCTCTCTAGTTTCCACTTGCTCTGTTTCTGCTGCTGCTCTTCCATGGCTGCTGCCTGCTGAGCTTGTGTAGTGTTTGATGAAGAGGTGTGAAACTCGTAAACAAGACTTGTTTTAAAGAGAAAACAGAGGGAGACTATTGTGGGCCGGGCTCAAACTTTAACTAGAGCATAAAATTATGTCCAAAATAAATTAAAAAATAAGGCAAAATGCGGTGAGCGTGGATCGAACACGCGACCTTCAGATCTTCAGTCTGACGCTCTCCCAACTGAGCTATCCCCGCTGGTTGGCTATTTTTTCATATTATAAAATAAGTATATGAAACTGTTGTTGGTCAAAAGATTGGCGTTGACTGGTTCTTTCTGGGGCCTCTCTTGGACCATATAATGGTTATCATCCGGCTGCTTGGTGCTCATCATCCTCTTTTTTTTTTTTTTTATCTCTCTGTGTAATCGAGTGAGAAACGAGACAACAACGATGGGAAAGTCTTTTAAGGATGAGTTCACTTTCGGTTCGTTTGTTTCTATATTGCTATTCCATCTTTCCAATGTTGTTGTTTTCTTTTTCTAGCTAATATCTATACTCTTAATTATTTACAGAGCAAAGGCTGGAAGAATCACAAGACATTATTGCCAAGTACCCCCTTCGAGTTCCCGTGAGTTCCTACAATCTTCTGTGGAGTCTTTGAACTGTTCTTCTTTTTCTGCGCAGATTTTTTCATACTATATCTAAATGTTTTGAGTTTTAATTCATTTTTAATCATTCTGCAGGTTGTCGTTGAAAGATACTGCAAAACTGACCTTCCTGAGATGGAAAAGAAGAAGTAAGTCTTAATTTCGTTTTCAGCTTTGGCTAATCTTTATTATATGTATGTTTCTTACTGTTTGATGATTCAAACTATTTATTATTATTATTATTATTATTCTGTGGGTCAGTGTCCAAGCTTAAATCCGGGTGTTATTGACCAGACCTGGTTGAGATGATATGCTCTTTTTCTTTTCTCAAGTATTGAATTGATAGCACAGATTCTCGTCTTCGTCAGCGGTTTTTTGAGTTAACTTATTTTTAATAACCTACCGGCGTGATTGGGATTGATGGACAAAATGGGGGAGTAGATCTGCGCCTATCAGCAGAGGGTTACATCTCTTGATTTTGAGGCTCGACCACAGGTTTGTCTCGGTCGTAAATACCGACACAGTTGGGAGAGTGTGTAAATACCACACATTAGATAGCTCAGTTGGGAGAGCGTCAGACTGAAGATCTGAAGGGGTGAAAGGAAGGAAAGGCAGAAGAAAGCCCTCTTTCTTAGGCTTCCACACATTAGAAACCCTAGCTTAAATACCATGGGCCAACTATTAGAAGTGCTATTTAGAGTTGCTTTCAGAATCAGTGGGACAAAGTTAGATGGCAAGGGCCTCCCCTGTGCACTCCACATGTGAGACTTGGGTGTATGACATTAATTGATGGATACTACGAATATCTAGAATTTAAACACTGTTAGAAGTAACGACGTCAATCATACTAAAACTAGGTGACATGTTTCTGCAATATTTTCGTCCTCTGGTCTCTCCAATACTAGTATGAAATGCTATCTTTTGTCATCCATGAGAAGCAATGATCGCTTGCTGAGATAGGCTTTAAGTTTATGCCTTTTTTCTCGTCGGATGGGGAAATGGGTTTTTGGAATAGGCAGGAGGAGATGGATAAATCAGAGGATATCCCTCCTTATTGTAACAGGCTTTGGGCACATTGCAGCGTTTCTAGGGAGAAATCCAATTTGAAAGAATCTGCTACGACCGATTATTGCATCTTTACAGAGGAGCAATCCTCTATGAAATCAGGTCGGAGTCAATCCTATACAGGCAACTGTAGGCTTTGCAGATCTCATTGAATCTAAGCTTTCCTTGTTATCACGGGGATGAAGGTGTTGTGAATGCTGATAAATGTTGCATGCACATAGTACTTTCTCACTCATAAGTAATAAATGAACAACTTGGCTTATACATCTCAATATCTCATTTATTTCTTTCATTCTTTCGTTTAGATATCTGGTTCCTCGAGATATGTCTGTTGGGCAATTCATTCACTTTTTAAGCAGAAGGCTTTGTTTGACACCTGGGAAAGCCCTCTTTGTGTTTGTCAAGGATACCTTACCTCAAACAGGTCTACTCACAATCTGCTACCATTCATCTTCTTTAAAATTCTGTTGCATGATGTTTTCTCCATGATAAATAGCTGATATCTGGTACCCGTCACTTCTTCCTGCAGCTGCTTTAATGGACTCCGTTTATGAATCCCTGAAGGACGAAGATGGATTTCTATACATGTGTTATAGCAGTGAAAAAACCTTTGGTCATACTGCTCCGATTAGTTAACAATTGAATGTCACTGTCTCCATTGTGGATCAGTGTTTAAAGCCCCCCTTACTGCTACATGAACTTGTTCCTCTGATATCTGTAAATCCTATAAAAAAAAACACAAAACATCAATGTTATCTGTTATCTGGCAAAGGAAAAAAAAAAACTGCATCATGCGAACCTGGGAAACTATCCTATTTCTTCACCCTTGTTCATGGAATGTTAATGAGCCAAGTGTAGATTGGCCTTCATGAGTGACTACTATTGCAGCTGGAACCATGTCCAAATTCAACCTTCATCTCATCAAAAATATTTTAATCGCTGTGAAACAATTCAAAAATGGTAGGGACTGTCGGCTGCTGTGTGGAAGAGATCAGTGGTTAGGTCTTGGTGATTTATGATTGGATTTGGGAGTGATAGTGTGTAAGGGAAAGGCTGACGATGTGGGTCTGCTGCTACCTGTCATTGGATCCCAGCATGGAAGGTTGCAGGTAGAGTTTTGGTTTATGGGAGAGAGTGCTGAGAGAAGGGTTTGGTTTCTGCTCCTTCTATGGACACTACTGGTTGCTCCAAGAAACCAATGGCAGATCTGGACTCGAAGAAGAATGTCCCGTGAGCCTCTTGGGCAAACATTGTGAAATCGGACAAGGGCCTTTCTAGTATGCAACTTGAGTTTTTCAAACCAGCAAAGCAAGGGGGATGAATTTTGATTGCGCGAAATGGCAGCCACTGGTCAAGCCCAACGGAAATGTTCACTGGCAGATCACTTTGTTGATTGCAAGCTTCCATTGTCACTTGTTAACAACATTACTCGCAGGCTGTGGAGTAAACTCAGTTTGATTGATGTTGTGGCTGATGGACACTGCGTGAGAACAAGGGAGATAAACCTCAACCCTGATTTTAATTTCTTTCTAACATATTGTTTAAAGAAACCTCAAGACTTTATGTCGAAATCAACATGCGAACATTTTACGAAGAAAGCAGTCGTAAAAGAAATATGAGCATCTTTATGGACTGATGGGCTTTTCGGGAAACGAAATGCGATAGTCAGGTGGTCGGAGAATTTGAGGGGAAGGAGGATTGAGGCGACAAACCGGAGGAGAATATTTGGGAGTTTAGATTTAAAGTTCGGGTTGGAATTTACAAATTAGGGATGAGAGTCTGTGGGTAAGTTGTGTTATGCCCCAGGTTGATAACTGTGCTACGCAGTAAAATATTTAAGTCTTGTGTGTGTGTAATTCGGGTTATATTTTCAATCAACTAAATAAATTGAATTTATTTGAATTACATAAAAAAACAAATAGAGACAATGATAGAAAATATAAATATATAAAAAAACTAATAAATAAGAATTAAAATTTTAAAAAATAGTACATTATTAAAAAGTAAAATTAAAAATAATAAAACTTTTATAAAAAAGTTAAGGAAATAAATAAGATATTCTAAGAATAAGAATCAAAATAAAAATACCAACATATGATGAAAAACACCTAAACATGTAGAATCTTTCAATGCATTTTTTTAGATAAAAAAATCTTATATATGCATTTAATCAAATAAATCACAAATTATTGTGTAAATAAATGAAAAAAATAAATAATGATAAAAAAGATAATTGAAAAAATTAAGATATCAATGTAAATCAAGATATCTAATATCTTAATACATATCATTTATCAAATTATGTTTGATAAATTTGTTTATAAAAATTAATTTATAACAGAAATTGACACATATAAAATTTATTATATAAAATAAAAGAAAAAAACTATTATTCAATGTTACACATATTAAAAATATTGTAAAAAATAAATATTTAATATATATAAAATATATAAAAAAAATTAAAGATGAATCATACTAACTCTGGAAAAAAAATTAAACACACTCAATATAATAAAAAAATAGTTGCTATTTAATAGGGAATAAAAAAACCTAAATATCATAAAGAAAGGGTATTGATTAAATTATAAATTTTAAAATTATTTTAAAAAACATGCACACAAAAAAAAAACCATTACTATAAAAACAAATTGAAAAAAAAAGAAAAGAAATGAGATGATGTGCTGCTAGCTCTAGTATGCTAGGCCTAACACCTAGTCTAGTTTATTTAAGTTTAATGGGGTGAACAACGCGTCGTTTATTAAATCTAGAATCTTGTCATTAGTTTGGCTAGAAAAACAGGATTCTTTTTTTACTATAAAATTAATTTTCAACTGATTTTTAACTAAAAATACTTAGAAATCTTATTAAAGTAATTAATGATCTCTAAAACACCAAAAACAAAAAAGGTTCAAAACTTGAAATCACATTGTAACCATAAATCTTTTCGAAGTTAGATTTTTTTAGGTGTTTTAAAAATAAAAGGATACTTAATAAATTTTTTTATCATATGGAATCATTTAATACAAAAATTAATTGTTTTGATGGCTTTAAATTTTTTTAATGATAACTTTCTCTTTCCAAGCTGGAATTTGATGATTCTCTCTCTATCCTCCACCCAAAAGAGATTAAATTTGAGGAAAATAAAATTATGCACCAAAATATTATTTTTTAAAATTAAAAGAACTTGTCACCTAATAATTTAAAAAAATGGAGAATGATAATGATTTTTTTAAGAAAATTCTAAAGAATCACCTATGCTACATATGTGTTTCACTTTAATCCCTTGTCTTTTAATTAAACTCTCATGGCAACAAAAACATATAATTAAGTTCCAATTTGAACTAAAAAAGATTTA